GGGGGAGACAGAGCCCAAGGGGGAGGAGGTTGGGGGGGAGATCAGAGCCCGTGGGGGAGGGGGTTCGGGGGGGAGTCAGAGTCCACTGGGGAGGGGGTTTGGGGGTGGGGGGGACAGAGCCTGCAGGGGAGGGGGGTTCAGAGCCTGTGGGAGAGGGGGGTCAGGGGGTTCAGAGCTGGGTTGGGGGTCTCGGTGGCAGAGCCAAGTGGGGAGGCGTTCTGATGAGGCAGAACTGGCCCAGGAAGGGGGTTGGGGGAACGGGCAGGGCCAGGCATTGAGGCTGTTTGGTGGGGGGTGCAGGGCTGGGAGGGGGTTCAGTGGGGGGTTAGGGCAGGGCGGGGCGGGGTTTGGTGGTGCGGGGCTGGGCCGGGAGAGGATACTGTGGGACAGAAAGAACCAGACTGGGGTGGAGTCTGGAGGGCAGACCCGAGTAGGGGTTTGGGGGGGCAGGGCTGTGTGCAGCACAGAGATGGGGGTCCTGCCCGACCTACGAGACGCCTGCGTCTCAGCATCTACAGTCAGTGAACGGGGATGGCCCCCCAGGGACCCCCCACCGGCCCCCACGGAGGTTTCGCGGGACAGGACGCAGGAGGAGGGAAGGGGAAGGGCCCCCAGTGGCCCCTGAGCCCTCAAGGCAGTGCTGACAGTCTCACTGTTTACAGACACACTGGCCCCTCCCAGCTCCCCAAGGCCAGCGAGGGGGGGGGGGTCCCTCCGTGGCTTCTCTGTCCCTCCCGCTGTCTCCCTGTCTGTCTCCACCTGAGTGTGGGTCTCTGTGTGTCTCTCTCCTTCCGTGTCTCGGTCTTTGCCAGAACCAGAAAGTTTGTGTCCTTCCCGGGAGACCCCCAATGTCAAATCGCAACCCCCAAGGGGAAGGTGTTAGGAGGGGGGGCTCTGGGTGGGGCGGGGGTTCAGGCCACGAGGGCGGAGCCCCCGCGAGGGATCAGTGTCCCCAGACCGCAGAGACCCCGCCCCGTCCACCAGGTGAGGACAGGCGCGCAGGAAGCAGGAAGCAGGTGTCTCCAGACCCGAGGCTGCAAGCGCCTTGACCTTGGACTTCACCTTTACGCCCCTGAGAAGTAACTGGTTCCTAAGTGCCCAGCATTCTAAGCCCGGCCTCTCTGTCCCTCTCCCGCAGACCCGACGGAAGCCCCGTGCTCTGGGGGGGCCACTTCTGCACCCTGTGGGGGTCTGGCCTGGACCCGGACCCGCGCGGGGACCCTGAGCCCCAGCCCTGCGGGGGCGCCTGACGCGTGCCATCGCCGCCGGGGACCGAGGCGGCCCGTGGCCGTGCCCACCCCGGAGCCCCCACCGGGTCCCGTCCTGCGGACCCACCGCTCCTGTTTGTCACCCGGCCCCCAAAGGGTCCTCGAAGCGACACGGGGAAGGAGGAAGCGTCTGCAAACCGTGAGCTTGAGTCACACGGTCTGTTCCATTTAACCCCAGGAGGAAACGCGGGGCGTTAGTTCCGCGCAATCCGGTGTCCCCCCCACCCTCCCACCTCCCCCCAAGGACTCCGTCCACGCCTTCCCCCCCGCCCCCAGCCGCCGGGCCTCCGCCCCCGCCGCCCCCCCGCCGCCCGGCGGTGGCCTCTCCACGCGCTTCCCGGTGCGCCATGGCGCATTCCAAGACGGCCCGCGGCCGGGGATGGGGGAGGGGCATCCGTAGCCACCCGTCCTTTCGTGAAAAGGGGCGTCCGAGGGGCGGTACCTGGGACGGGGCCTCCGCCTGCCTCCCCGGAGCCTGCTGGGCGCCCCCCCGGACTGCACTCTCCAGGTGCGTGAAGACGTCCCAGGCGCGCTCATCGTTGTAGGCGATGAGGCCGCGCAGAGAACCCGCGCCCTCCGACGCCAGGTGCCGCTCGGCTCGTTGTGTGTTCCGGTAACCTGGCGGGAGAGGGCGTCCTGGGGTCTCCTGCGGGCGCCCGCAGACCCCAGACCTGGGGAGCCACGCCTGGCGTCCTTAGGCTGGCACCAACCTACCCCCCCGCCCCACCCCCGGCAACCCGCGTGCCCGGGGCACAACGCACGCGCAGGGGCGGCTCCCCAGGGCCGCAGCCCAGACCCAATGCCGATGCGGACTCATGCGTAACTCAAAGAGGTGGGCGTTCCCAGAGGCGAGCTCCCCAAAGCCCCCGGGGACGGTCGCTCGCCTCGGCCACGGTCCCCGGTTCTGACATCCAATGCCAGGCTGCAGACGGCCGTGGATGGGGTTTCGTAGGTGTGGTTTGACATCTACAACCAGCCGAACGTAAGTCAAGGACGTGACCTTCGACAATGTGGGTGGGCCTCGTCTAATCAGGTGAAGGCGGTACAAGCAGCGATGAGGTTTTGCTGAGCGAGAAGGAATTCTGCCTCAAGAATTGAGGGCCACTGTGTCCTGATTCTCCATCCTGCCCGGCACGTCTCGGGCCCCTCGTCGGCACAACTGGGTGATCCAATTCCTTGCAATGGGCCACCAGGTGTATGTCTCACAGTTGTTTTTCTCTGGACAGCCTGCATGGTGCGGGGCCCTTCCTCTCGCACCGGAGCCATCTGTCTGCAGGACGTGCCCCTCCCCACATCCTGCATCTAGAGAACAGAGGCTGGGGGTACAGGGAGGTGATGGTGGCCGAGACCCCTATGCGTCAGCAGAAGACCCCACGTGACTGGGATCGTCCGAGATACCAGCACTGGGTCCCCGTTAACACGTAAGTGTTCCTAGTTCTTTGGCCCTTGGAAGACCGGATGCGTCCCATGCGCGTGAGGGGGAACTCTTCACGGGACTGGCCCCCGGAACCGTGCGAGGCGTGGGCTAAAATGTGTCAGAAGCTCCCAAGTGATTAAAAGTCTGGACACCGGAGCTTTCTCGCGCTTGCTCATTATGATCGATAGAGGAGAAATCACTGAACTGGTCTGGCTGGGGAGAAAGGTGCGCTTTCTATGCTCCACATCTTAACCACAGACCTGTACGCCTTTGTGCGGAGGGCAGCCAGCACCCTAATTCTGTCCTGGTCACAGAAGCAAAAGGGCCTGTCCTGCCCTGGGGTCCTTACCCGCTGCCATTCCCAGGCCACCCAAGGACCATCCACAGGACCCTCTGCTCTGAGACCAAGCTCCAGAACCCTATTTCAGGAAACACACTCATCCATCCACCATCCCTCCATCTACCTACCTACCCATCCATCCATCCATCCATCCACCTACCTTTTTATTCATCCGTCCTTCCATCCACCAATCTTCCCATCCATCCACGTACATACTCACCCATCCATCCATCCATCATTCATCCATCCATCTACCCTTCCTCCATCTGTCTACCTACCTACTCATCCATCCATCCCTCCATCCTTCCATTCATCAACCTTTCCATCCATCCATCTATCCATTCATCCTTCCATCCACTCATTCATCTATCTATCCATCCATGAATCCATCCACTTATCCATCCATCTTTCCATTCAAATATCCTTCCATCCATCAATCTTTCCACCAATTCATCCATCTGTACGTTCTTCCTTCTATCCATCCATGCATCCATCCATCCATGCATCCATCCAAGTCTCCTATCATCTGTCTACCTATTTATCATTTCCATTACCAATCTGTATCAATCTATGTACCCACGTTCCATCTAGTTCTTATTTGTCTAAATAAGTAAAAACAAATGTGTATTCATGATGTACCCACATATATAATCCACTGGCTCTGTTTCTCTGCTGAACCCTGACTGATACAGCTCCTTTGAGACCACAGCTCGCAAAAATGTCACTCTCCTACGGGCACCTGGGTGGGTCCGACGGTTAAGAGTCCGACTCTTGAGGGGCGCTTGGGGGGCTCAGTTGGTGAAGTGTATGCCTTTGGCTCAGGTCATGATCTTGCGGTTCGTGACTTCAAGCCTCGAATCAGCCTCTGTGCTGACAGCTCAGAGCCTGGAGCCTGCTTTGGATTCTGTGTCTCTCTCTGTCTCTGCACCTCCGCTGCTCTTACTCTGTCTCTCTCTCCCGCTCAAAATATTTTAAAATTAAAAAAAGAAAAAGAAAAAAGAGTCTGACTCTTGATTTTGGCTCAGGTCATGATCCCACGGTTCATGAGACTGAGCCCTGTGTTGGGCTCTGTGCTACCAGTGTGGAGCCTGTTTGGGATTCTCTCTCTGCCTCTCTCTCTGTCCCTCCCCAGTTTGTGCACTCTCTCTCGCTCTCTCTCAAAATAAATAATTTAAAACAAATCACTCTTCTAAAACACACATACTCACACACAGTCCTGTTTCCTTTCTCCCATCCTCTGCTTCTTACCCTTGGGGCCCCGTGCTGAGGACAGAGAGATGGTCTGACTTTCCCGGCCTTGGCTGAGAAGCCACCTTCACTGGATGACTTTCTTCCACCTGCAAAGATTTTACAGATTTCCCTCACCTCTGTCTGTCTTCTCCAATAATCCCAGGGCCACACAGACATCCAGGAGCCGCCCAGTTCCACACACAGAGGCATCAATTTTGCGTGCAACATCCACCGCCTTCAGGGGGGCTTCATCTTTCAGGGCATCAAACACCTTCAGCTTGCAAGCCGTGAACAGGGCCTGTCCGTTAGAAATGAGAACAGTTAGACTTCCTACGTGACTTGTCAGGTCCTTTCACTCCCATAGACCCAAAAGATGGAGGTCCGAGCTGTCAAAAGTATTTAACTTGTGCACGGAAACTTCTCCGGAGAAGACTGGATTTAGGCTCCAGGTGGTACAAGGTGTACATGAGACAAAAGCACATTAGTGAATATTAAGGAGAAAAACTGTCCCGTGGGAGATAAACCAATGTGTCGGTATTTGGGGCTGAACTGTGTTCCCCCCAAGATCTATCTGTTGAAGTTGTAACTCTCAGGACCTCAGGATGTGACTGTATTTGGAAACAAAGAAGCCTGTCCTCAGGGGCAGAAGACCCTGAGGTCGCAGCTCAGGACACATGCTCACGTGTGTAACGCAATATTTGACAACTGATGCGCTTCCATGAAGGGCCCGATGATGCTGGGTTGTTTCTAGAACTATCATGATGGCTGGGAAGGTGACACGTGACGGTCCCTCGGCTGGGTCAGCTTGGGAGACTTTTGTAATGAGAGCAATGGAACAGGCACCCAGATGGAAACACAGGAAAGCAGGCAGACAGACACATAAATGGATAGATGATAGAAAAGTAGATATATAGATAATCGATAGTTTGACGATAGGTGCACAGGTAGATAGATAATAGGTGATAGAGTCTTTGATGACAGGTGGATAGGTAGCCGCGAAGACAAATCAGAGGAAAGACAAGTAGATGCGCCCCCCCTGCCCCGCCCAGCTCTGTCACATGAGGGCACTGCTAATTCTTATTTGTGAGGGAATTAGATTCTTTGAGGTCCAACACAGCACAAGCACCTCTCTTTCCGGATCCCAGAGCTTCTGCCCCCGACGAGGCCATCACAGGGAGGCGGCCCGGGCGGGAGCGTGGGGAGGGGCGGTCCCCAGTCCCCGTCCCCCACTGGCCGCTGATGCGGACCCCGCCAGGCACGGCTGTCCCTCAAAGCAGCTGGAGGGGCTGCCGACCTGGGGCAGGGAGAGGGGGTCGGAGAGAAGACGGCGCCCACGGGAGCGCAGGGAAGGCCACAGCCGGTCCCGGCCTAGGTCGACGCGCTGCAGGCGGCCCGATGCGCCGGCGGGTCTGGCCGGGCACCTGGGTGTTTCTGGACGGCGTGTGACCGCGCACGGGGGAGGCGGCGGCCACGGGCACCTGGGGCCTGTACCCGCACCCAGCCGGCCTGCGGGCCCGGAGACGCCCCTCGGGGTGCACGGCGGGCCCCATGCTGGGGTGTCGTGGCCGCCGAGCACCTCCACACAGCTGCACACATGCACCTGGACACAGAGCCCTCACGGCCTGAGCACGCGTCCCACACGCCAGGCAGCATGTGCACACTGGCAGGTCAGGTCACACCCTCTGAGACCCCGAAGTCACCATCTCTGTGTCACGTCATTTAGGGAAGGCAGAAAACCAGCTGGGGACGCTCCTGTGGGCTGAACAGGCGCCCCAGAGAGACGCTGCAGTCTGACCCCAAGGACCTGGGATCTTTAAACAGGGTATTTGCAGGTGTGAGGAAGTGAAGGATTAGAGGTCAGCTCATCCCGGACGAGGGGGGCCCCGAATCCAACGACACGTGTCCTTGTAAGAGACGGAGGAGGAGACGCAGACGCAGGGGAGAAGCCGCGTGAAGACGGAGGCAGAGACGGGGGGACGCGGCCACGAGCCCGGGGACCCTGGGGCCCCAGGAGCTGGGAGACGCGGGAAGGGCCCTCCCCTGGGGCCTCAGGAGGGAGCTCGGCCCCGCCCCCTGCATCTCAGCGGCCCCGCCCCCTGCATCTCCGCGGCCCCGCCCCCTGGACTCAGCGGCCCCGCCCCATCTCAGCGGCCCCGCCCCCTGGATGTCAGAGACCCCGCCCCCATCTCAGTGGTCCTGCCCTGCATGGATCTCAGCGGCCCCGCCCCATCTCTGTCCCCGTCCCGCCTGTATCTCAGCGGCCCTGCCCCCTCATCTCAGTGGTCCTGCCCCCATCTCAGCGGCCCCGCCCCCTGGATCTCAGAGGCCCCGCCCTCATCTCAGTGGTCCTGCCTCGCCTGCATTTCAGAGGCCCCGCCCCCTGGACCTCAGTGGTCCTGCCCCACCTGAATCTCAGTGGCCCTGCCCATCTCAGCGGCCCCGCCCCCTGGACCTCAGTGGTCCTGCCCCACCTGAATCTCAGTGGCCCTGCCCATCTCAGCGGCCACGCCCCCTGGAACTCAGTGGACCCGCCCCATCTCAGTGGAACCGCCCCTGGATCTCAGCGGCCCCGCCCCCTGGAAGTCAGCGGCCCCGCCCCCCATCTCAGTGGTCCTGCCCCTCCTGGATCTCAGTGGACCCGCCACCATCTCAGCGGCCCCGCCCCCATCTGAGTGGTCCCGCCCCCTGGATGTCAGCGGCCCCGCCCCATCTCAGCGGCCACGCCCTCCCATCTCAGTGGTCCTGCTCCGCCTGGGTCTCAGGGGCCCCGCCCCCCCGGATCTCCGCGCCCCTGCCCCCTGGACCTCAGACTGCAGTGTCCAGAGCTGGGGGAGCACGCACCCCTCTGGCTTCACGCCGTCAGGCTGAGCCCGTCCTCACTGCCTCCCCAGGACACGCCGACCAGTACCTTCGATGCTTTAAAGCCGTCTATGAGTTCTAGGAGGTCCGATGGGAACGGCGGCGGGTCCTCCACCTTCCCGGCGGCGACCGCGCGCTGCGCGCCAGCAGGAGCCTGCGCGGAGTCAACGCCCGCCTCTGCGCCTGCGCGGCCGCGGCCCCCGTCGCCCGGGGCAGCGCGGGAGCCGCCCGCCTCCGAGTCGCTGGGGACGTCGAAGGTGTCCACGGCGGGGATGGAGTCGTGCCTGACCCGGGGCAGGTCCTCGCGGCGCGGCGGGTAGTACAGCTCCGCCAGCGTCTTGCAGAAGCGGTTCAGCGGGAAGCCCACGACGTTGAGGAAGTCCCCGCGGACGCGCTCCACCAGCATGCCGCCCAGCGCCTGGATCCCGTAGCCGCCCGCCTTGTCCCTGCGCCGGGCGGACGGGGCGGCGCGGGCCGGGGGGACACGCAGGAGTCAGGCTGCGGGGCCGTCCGAGCGGGCACCGCGGCCGCGCGAGCCCGGCGGCACCCACACGCGTGGGGGAGGAGTCCGCGTCTTGAGTGACCCTTCGGTCCCCGCCGGGGGCGATGACAAGGCGACCCCGGGGCCCTCGGGGTCCGCGCCGCCCACAGCGGGCCTGGGCGCGCGGTCCCAGGGGCACCGGAGTGACGACCCCGACCCGGCCGGGCTCCGGTCCACATCTGCATCCCCGGCTCAGGAGCCTCCTCGGGGACACAGGACGGGCCTTCAAGGACCCTTACTGGACGCTGAGTTGGCGCCTCGTGCTTTCCCTCCGACCCTCCCTCCTCTGCCTCCCGGGACCCCCTGCTCCTAAACCGGCCGGAGGTTGTGGTCCTGGGCGCCCCCCAGTGGTGAGACCGCCCCTCTGCACCTCCATGCAGGCACCTGTCTCTTGCCGGCCCCGTTCGGGGTGTGGGGGGTGGGGAACGGAAGGGAGACGCGTGTTAACCTGTGTCGGTCACGTGACAGCAGGACACTAAGAAAGGCCTTGGCTGTTCCTCAGATTTTGACTATTTTCATCAGCTTGCCCGGAACAGGGCAGCTCAGCCCCTGAGCCCCGCCCTGCCCGGATTCCCTGATCTCCGCCCTGCCCCAGGCCCCTGAGCAGCCCCTGCCGGGAACCCATGCGCCCCGCCCTGCCCGAAACCCTTGAGACCCCCGTCCCCCGCCCGGAGCCCCTGAGTCCCCCCACCCCGCCGGGAGCCCCTGAGTCTCCCACGCCCCTGCCAGAAACACCCGAGCCCGCCCCCACCCCTGCCCGGAGCCCCTGAGCCCAGCCCCGCCCGGAGCCCAAGTTCCCCCCACCCCGCGCCAGGGGCCCCTGAGCCCCACCCCCTGCCCAGAGTCCCTGAGCCCCCTACCACCACCCCTGCCCAGAGCCCGAGTCCTCCCCGCGCCCGGAGCCCCTGAGGCCCCTACCCCCACCCACGCCAGGAGCCCCTGAGGCACCCCCCCGGCCCGCCCAGAGCCCCTGAGTCTCCCCGCTACCCCGCCCGGAGCCCCTGAGCACCCCCTGCCCGGAGTCCCTGAGTCCAACACCCCGCCGGGAGCTCCTGAGCACCGGCCCCCCATCCCGCCCGGAGCCCCTGAGCACCCCCTGTCTGGAGCCCCTGAGTCTCCCCGCCCGGAGCCCCCCAGCCCGCTGCTCCCGTGCACGAGTGCACCGGTGCGCTGCATGCTCACCTGGGCCCGCCCCCGGGGCTGTGGACAAAAACAGCGCTCCCGTGGACCTGCGCCTGAGTCTCCCCAACATTCCTACACTGAGATCCGAGGGCCCAGGGGGCGGGGCCGGGGGTCGGGCCGGGCCGTGGGGGCGGGACTCACATGGGCTCCCCGCTGTCGATGTACTCCCACAGCAGCTGCTCCGACAGCTCCGAGAACGTCACCGCGGTCTCCTCGTGAAACTCGGTCACCTGCGTGTCCAGCCGGCCGCCTGCGACACAGGGGGTCCGCGCAGGTCAGGGGAGGGCGCGGGGCGCTGCGGGAAGTCCGCCTCGGCCCAAGGACCCAGGACACACCAACGACTCAGTCCGCCTCGGCCCAAGGACACACGAACCAGGTGGGAACGAGGTTCGGGGCGGGAGCGGTGAACAGTGGCGGAAAGAAAGTTACAAAATCTAGGGGCTCGGCCCAGGCCGGTGGGGGGCTCGGGTTTCCTTGCGCGAAGGGCCGTTCCTTTTATTAAAAGGTCCTCACCATTTTAGTGCTTAAAAAAAAAAATTAATGCTTATTTATTTTTGACAGAGAAAGAGAGACAGAGCATGAGCAGGGAGGGGCAGGGAAAGAGGGAGACACAGAATCCGAAGCAGCTCCAGGCTCTGAGCTGTCAGCACAGAGCCCGACGCGGGGCTCGAACTCCTGAACCGCCAGATCGTGACTGAGCCGAAGTAGGACGCTTCACCGTCTGACCCCCGGGCGCCCCTGCGTGATCTTTTTAAAAGACCTTCTCTGTGCTTCCAGGATTTCGGGTTGGACAGCCGAGCCCGCCCGCTTCGGACCTGAAGTCTCAGCTGTGTGGGTCGTGCAGGACGGGGGGGGCCCTCCCGCAGGTGCTCGGACGGAAACAATCCAAGACCTGTAAGTAGCCTGGACTTTCTCAGGCAGGAGTGGGGGAGGGGCCCTCATGGGACATGGAGGCCCCGGTCAGCAGGGTCCCCCCGTTCCTCCCGCGGTGGTCCCGGGTCGGGGGGGGGGGGGG